TGTAGGGTCTTCTCCCTGGAGAATGAGCTGAGAACAAGACTCTAGAGCAGAGAGGTCAAGGACTGGCAAGCCAGAGTCCTGCAGATGTGTTTATTTGCACTTTGCACTGCATTTAAATCATTTAAATTGATTGCCAACATCTGAAAATCAGATTTCATGTAAGGACCTGGATTTCTGGTCGCTCTGGAAAACAGAGGAGTTCTGGTCATCCCCAACCCTTCTTCCCTCATTGCAGCTGGAGCTGAGGAGTGGCTGTCCTTTTTTTTTTTTTTTCATTTTTTCATTTTTTTTAATGTTTATTTTTGAGAGCGAGAGACAGAGACAGAATGCAAGCGGGGGAAGGACAGAGAGAGAGGGAGACACAGAATCCCAAGCAGGCTCCAGGCTCTGAGCTGTCAGCACAGAGCCCAACGCAGGGCTCAAACCCACGAACCGTGGGACCATGACCTGAACTGAAGTTGGACACTTAATGGACTGAGCCACGCAGGTGCCCCTGTGGCTGCCCTTTTAGATTGGTCAGTTCCTCAGTCTCTGCTCAGTTTACTTTGCTAACTGAGACTGTCTTGCTGTTTGCTGTAGTCATCTGAGTTACGGCTTCAGAATTTACTGCTTATTTTTGCTTCAGTGTGAGATGGAAGTGATAGCCAGTTTTTTGAAAACTGTCAAAAACACAGTTCACCAAACACTTTAAAATAGTATTTGACTCATTTCTCTCCAGATTTGATAAGAGCCTTTTTTACACTTCTGGAAAGTGGAGAGATCTGGGTAAAGTATAGAAATTTGTTTCATTATATAGAAATCACTCTTGGGAGGGATATGAGGCATATATTAAATCTCAAAACGGCGATGACTTTTGGTAGTCTTTGTGAATTTAATTTTAAGTAGAAGAAATTTTTAAATAAGGTCCATGTATATTGGTCATAATTTTAAACAAGTGGCTAAAAATTCGTCTATTAAACGTTTTATTAAAGCAGTAAAATGTCTCATTAAAACAACTTTACAAAAAAATCGTCACTCAATTTCTGGACTTTGTTCCTGTGTATACAGAATTTGCACAAAATTGTATCCAAATGACAATAAGTGGCTTTGAGCATGTCTTGTTTGTTTTTTATTTTTTTATTTAAGAACTTTTAAAATGTTTGTTTATTTTTGAGAGAGAGAACATGAGTGGGGGAGGGGCAGAGAGAGAGGGAGACACAGAATCCGAAGCAGGCTCCAGGCTCTGAGCTGTCAGCACAGAGCCCAACGCGGGGCTCAAACCCACGAACCGTGGGACCATGACCTGAGCCGAAGTTGGATGCTTAATCAACTGAGCTATCCAGGCGCCTGATTTTTGTTTTTTAAAGTAGGCTCCATGCCCAATGCAGGGCTTGATCTCAGATCAAGAGTTGCATGCTTCACCAACTAAGCCAGCCAGGCACCCCATGCTTTTTTCTTCTTATTTTAAATTATTTGTCTGAGATAAGTTTCTAGAGCAGGTTACTTGATAAAGGAGAGGAGCATTTTTATGAATCTTGGTTTGTTTTGCTAAATTATTCTAGAAAAAGATGATTTACATGGTCTCTAGCAAGATATGAAGGTGCCTGGTTTTTTCTTCCCAAAACTCTCCCAGGAATTGGTTTTTATAACTTTTTATTCATTTGTGTAAAAACTATTAAATGGAATTATATATCTTTTTAAAAATGTTTGTTTAGTTTTGAGAGAGAGAGAGAGAGAACACATGCGAATGGGGGAGGGACAGAGAGAGAGGGAGACACAGGATCCAAAGCAGGCTCCAGGCTCTGAGCTGTCAGCACATAGCCCGACGCAGGGCTTGAACTCATACAAACCATGAGATCATGACCTGAGTCGAAGTTGGACGCTTAACCGACTGAGCCACCCAGGCGGCCCTGTAATTGTATATCTTGAAACAAATTAAGAGTTAGATGTTTGTATCAGTTAGCTATTGTTGTATAACAAACCATCCCCAAACTTAGTGACTTAAACGATGGTGATTTATTATCTCTCACAAGTCTGTAGGTTGGCAGGACTGTTGCACTTGCTCACGTGTCAGTGGCCAGTTGGTGGGTTGGCTGGGGGCTGACTGCTCTAGAACATCTGCTGAAATCAAGAGTCAGACGCTTCACCAACTGAGCCACCCAGGCGCCCCGACTCTATCTCTTGATAGCGATAACTCAAAGTCACATTGCAGAGCGTAGTATGGGGCTGGGTGGAGACCTGGGATTACTTTTGCAACTGTTATACCACCACATGCAAGTGGATGTTGTCCCTCAAAGTTGTCAACTTTCAAAGTTCTACACTCATTCCAGTGATGTACCCACTAATTAAAAAAGAACTAATCAGAGCCTTTATTGGAATCTCCTTTTAAGAGGGGAGAGGCCATTATAAACCAATTAAGAAAATCAGTTTTTTATAGTCAACCATTTTATGCAACCTTCTTGATTCTAGGTAATTTTTGATAATTTCTAAATATCAAATCCATGATAAACCAAAATTGACCTCCATCAAGGCTATTTAAAAGAATGTAACCCAGACTTTGAAATCAATCCAAAATGAAGCATTCTAAAATGTTTAAAACAAAGGCTTGTCACTGAAATAAATGGGGAGAGCATGACACACTTGATCGCTTTGAAGTGATTAACTACTTTGTGTGTATTTTTTCTGGAATGTTTTTAAAAAGCTGTGCTTTGAATGAGGTGGTGTAAACAAATACCTGTTGGCCGTAGATAAATTTTGGAGTTCAGTATCTCTTAGTTGAATATCAAATTAATGTTTTCTCCTAAAGGAGCTTAGAGTTGGCTCTCATGTAGGTTGCAAATTGCAGCAAAGTAACTGGATTTTTTTCTTCATTTTGCTATTTAGATAATGTTTTTGGAGAAAGAGAACATGTTTGTTTTCATAATGTCCCAGTTCAGTGTTGCTATTATAAGAATTTCTAGAACCTTAATATCTTAGATATAACCTTTGTAGGCCTTTAAAAAACAGTATACGCAAACTTTGTCTCCTCAAGGAAATTGACTTGGGTTTTCCTTTGTGGACAGTTATTAAAGAATTATGTACCTACAATGTTAGCCAAGATTTAGTAGTGGATTTTGTGTTAGACTTTCTATCATCTGGCCATATACGCTTGAGTCTCAGCCTCTCGGAAGTTGACACTGGAAGTTGACATAAAACAGGAGAAGCTCAGGTTTTATAGATTCTGAATATATCCACTTTAGAAAAAAACCCTTTATTGGGAAGTGCTGTTTGGAGTCAGCAAATAGGAGCAGAAATCCTTAATTCATAGTATTTGTGATCTTATTCACCTTGGGGACAGCAGGCACTCATGTTTGGGGGGGGGGGTTTCGGTCAAGGGCAAATTCACTTGATCATTAGAGGAGGTTGTCTCTTCTGCATTTGAACTTAGAGTTCAGTTTAGTTCATGTCAATAGACTGGGGGCATATGAGTGGATATGTCCAGGTAAGACCTAGAAACCAGCCTGGACCAAGGATGCTAAATTAGGTGCATGTTCATGAATGTACTGTGGGTGTTTTACCCTTGCCTTCTTTCTGTAGCACCCCCAGCCAGGTTTTCTGGGATTTGACATTTGAGATCAATCATGCGATAGATTGGAGATTTGGAATCTTGGGGTCTCAAGGGATGGATGGGCAAGTTATTGGATTTTTCTGTATCTGTCTGAATTTCCCCATCTGTAAAACAGGCATGAAAATACTCACAGGTTGCTTCCTGAATCAAATGAGATAAAGCAACACTCTTTCCACTAATAAATAATCATCATAGCTTGTATTTATTGAGAACTTCCTGTGTGCCAGGCACTATTCTAAAGCTTTCACATGCACTCGCTCATTGAACCCTCTCAGAAGTCCTAGAATCTCTATTTTTCAGTGACGGAAACTGAAACACAGTACAGTTGGCCCTTGAACAACACAGATTTGAACTGTGCGTGTCCATTTATACATGATTTCTTTGCAAATAAATACAGTACAGCACTAGAAATGTATTTTCCCTTATGATCTTTTCTTTTCTTTTCTTTTCTTTTCTTTTCTTTTCTTTTCTTTTCTTTTCTTTTCTTTTCTTTTCTTTTCTTTTCTTTTCTTTTCAAGTTTATTTATTCACTCTTAGAGAATTCCAAGCAGGCTGCTCACTGTCAGCACAAAGCCTGATATGGGGCTCAAACTCCTGAACTGTGAGATCACGACTCGAACTGAAGTCAGACACTTAACCAACTGAGCTACCCAGATGCCCCTTCTTCTTTTTTTTTTTAAAGTAATCTCTACACCGAAGGTGGTGCTCGAACTCAGAATCCCGAGATCAAGAGTTGCATGCTCCAGGGGCACCTGGGTGGCTCAGTCAGTCCGACTTTGGCACAGGTCGTGATCTCACAGTCTGTGAGTTCCAGCCCCATGTCGGTCTCTGTGCTGACAGCTTGGAGCCTGGAACCTGCTTCGGATTCTGTGTTTCCCTCTCTCTCTGCCCCTCCCCTGCTCATACTCTGTGTCTCTTTGTCTCTCAAAAATAAATAAACCTAAAAAATAAAAAGTTGCACGCTCCACTGTCTGAGCCAGCCAGGCGCCCCCATTTTTTCCCCTTCCTTCTGATTTTCCTCTAGCTTACTTCATTGTAAGAATACACTACATTGTCCATATAACATGCAAAATATGTGTCACTCGATTGTTTCTGTTGTTGGGAAGGCTCTGGTTAACAGTAGGCTATTAGTGGTTGGGTTTTGGGGGAGCCAAATTATCCATGGAGTTTCAACCGCGTGAGGGTGAAGGGGGTTGGTGCCCCTCACTCCGGTATTGTTCAAGGGCCAACTGTATATGGAGACTTTGAAACCCTCTAAAACAGGAAACGAATGTAAGCTCTTGTCTTCATTCTCCCCAAAGTGCGCTTTCCTCTATCAATTGAACTGAAGTCCAGGAATGCTAGCAGCCTTCAAAGTCCAAATCAGTGTTTTGCTCCATCTGTATGAAAATGTTCTCTGTGTTCACCCTCTAAGGTTTCCAGGGGGCTACCATGACGGTCACCGTGGTGTATGATAACTCTGAGGCCACGGAGCTCTGTGCAGCTCAGCACCTCTACCTCAAGCCCATAGCAAAACTGATGATCAATGTATTGCTCCCAGAGACCTCAGAACCTATGAGGCCCTTCTCCAACTGGGAAGTTCTTGACCAGCTTAAGAGCCTAATTTGTCCTGATCAGTTCACCACGGTTCGGCTCTCCAAGAGCACCAAGGACTTCATCCGGTTCGAGGGTGAGGCCGAAACGCGAAGTTTGGTTCAGATCTTGAAGGCCAAGTTACATGGGAAGATCATCAAGCTAAACGGGTTGAAAACAGACTTAAAAGTAGTGGCTACAGACGCCCAGGGAGAGTGGGAACGCTTCCCCAGGGGAAAGGAGGCCTCACTGAGTGATGGCGCTGAAGAGCAGGACCAGGATAAGAGCCCCGACTCTATATATTTTGAAGGCTTGCCCTGCAAATGGTTTGCACCTAAAGGTTCCAGCGGGGAGAAGCCATGCGAAGAGATCCTCCGGGTGGTCTTTGAAAGCTTTGGGAAGATCAAGAACGTGGATATCCCTATGCTAGACCCCTACAGAGAAGTGATGACTGGTGGGAGCTTTGGGGGTTTCAGCTTCGGCTTGCAGACATTTGAGGCCTTTATACAGTACCAGGAGTCGACGGACTTTGTAAAAGCCATGGAGTCCCTTCGAGGTATGAAGCTAATGCTCAAAGGAGATGATGGGAAAGCTCTGGCCTGTAACATCAAGGTAAGAAGGAGCCAGAATTTCTCTCATTTCCCACTGTCCAGGTGGTCCTGAGCAAAAGCTGAAAGGAAGCATCTAGAATAAATTTCCTTAGTCCCCATCAGGCTCTGATTGACCGCTAATGTGGAGATTTGTGTGGTCACTGATAAATGGATGTGCAGGAATAAAAATAATCCTGATTTGAACATTTTTCTGCTAGCATGCATGCTGCCAGCAGGGGTTTTATAAAGAGACGGTTGTTATAATCCGGGGTTCTGCCCTAGCTTCTCGGCCCCGAAGAATTCCTCTGGCCCTTATGGAACTGTCTCGTATGCCTGTTCTATTTGGCACATTGCTGAGAGAGAGGGATGCATGCAGTTTGAAACCACAGGAGAGCAGTTTACTCCCTCTGTACGCTTGGGGCAACAGCTTACATTTTCAGGATGTTGGTCAGGTAAATTGCTGGGACATAACCTCAACAAACTTGGATCCTTTCCTTTCAAGATCATCCTGTCTGTCCAGTCATGCTGCCTCATCGATGTCTGCAATGCTTGGCCATTTTCTTGACCTCTTAATCCCGCAGAGGAAAAGATGCAGCTAAACCCTCCTTATTCTTTCAGTCAGTCTTGAACATGTGTGGACTTGCAGCTGAAGTAGCTTCCTGTGTACGATTATGTGTGTCTGTGTGATGTGTGAAACTACTTATGTTAAAATAGATCTTATTTATTTATTTATATATTTATTACTTTAGAGAGACTGTGCTCAAATGGGGGAGAAATGTTGCGGGTGGGAGGGAAAGAGTGAGAGAGAGAGAGAGAGAGAGAGAGAGAGAGAGAGAGAATCTTAAACAGGCTCCATGCTCAGTGCAGAGTCCAACATGGGGCTTGATCCCACAACCCTGGGATCATGACCAAAATCAAGAGTTGGAAGTTCAACCAATTGAGCCACCCAGGTGCTCCTAAAATACATCCTTTTGAATTAGAAGCTATTCAGGCAGACAAAAGATATAACACATACTATAGTGCCCAACCACGTACCCATTGCCCAGCTTAAGAAAGAAAACATCACCGGTGAGACGAGACACCATCCCCCTTCCTCCCCTCAAAGGTAGCCGTGATTGTGAATTTGGTGTTTATCATTCTTGTGTATATTTAAAGGGCTATTTCTGTCTCCTTTTATTTTTCAAGCAAATTTGTTTGTAGCACCTCGATCTGGCTTTTGCTTTGAGATTTGCAAAGTAGCTTAATAATCACTACAGTCTGACCTTGGTATCCCATTAGGTCAGTTTTCTTGCATCTTTGCTCCCCGCCCCTTCCCCCACCCCCACCCATTTTTTGACCATTTTTGTCCCTGGTGATTAAGAAAAATACATGAACTCAGTTGATCTTTATAACAAACCAGAGGTAATAGACTCACATCCCTCAGACCCTGTGCCCCAAATGACACTATGAGGCCATCTATAGCTATGTTAGAACTCCTCAAGGGTTCTGCCAAAGGAAATTCTGCAGGGCTGTTCGGCAGGTGACCACGAAGTAGCGGAACCATGTGGGTGCTGGGAGGCAGAGAGGGCATTTTGAGTTCATTGAGTTTTGAATGGTGATGTACATACCAGTTTCATCTCACTGGCCTGGGGCTTACCCAGCCAGCTGGCACACTTTTCTAATGAAACTCTGAATTGTTTGTGGGCAGGTTAAGTTTGATACAACCAAACATTTCAGCGAAGGAGCCATAAGGAGGAGAAATCAAGAAAGGCTAAAATTACAAGAACTAGAGGAAGAAAGGAAGAAAGAAAAGAGGAGAGACGAGGAAAAGGCTGCAAGGTAAGGAGTCCGACTTGAACAGAGAGGGTTTTCACTTCTGATGAGGGGATTTTTCCCTTTGGGTGAATAGGTAACATGGAGGTGAGGGGCAGCAGGGACTGGTGCAGAGATTGGACAGCTCTTTGGAAGCCTGTAGTCTTCCAACTGTGCTGGTACCAAAACAAAATGGCCAAACAGTGGAAAACAGGAAACTGAAAAAGAAAGTACTCAGGGGGAACAATTAAGGGCTAGATTAAGATATCTGGGAAGAAAGGATTTATAAAAGCGGGGGCAGGGGAGGGTATCAGGGGCTTTTATAATGAAAATCCTAGCCCACCAAATTAACAAATATACCAATTTACCCCAAATTTACCAAATTGTACCTTGCCTAACAATTTAAAATAAAAACAAATTCTTTATAGGATGGGAAGATTTTGTTCCATTAAATGGTCAGCAGTCAAACCAACCCATAGGCAGGAAAGCATGGATTTCTTGGCATTCTATTTCCTGCTGGCCTAAGGTCTTTCTGTGTATTTAAGGAGCCCCTGTGTTTATTTCTTTGAGCTTATCCTTGTCTTGAGTTTAGAGACTTGGGCCTAGAAAGGGCTATTGGATGGCCAAAGGTTTGCCAAGAGGGTACCAGTGGGCTGCAACTACAGGGTTCTCAAGACAAGCTGTACCCTTTGGCCCCTCCACTTGCATGTTTATTCTTGCAATCCTTCCTGTGAATTATAGCTGTTCAAGAAGGGAAATAGAGAGTATCCTTCCATGTACCTTTCACTGTTTTGGCTGGCAGGGTGATATGAGTTGATTGAGATCATGTCTGTGAAACTTGGCCAGAAATTGAGCCCAGTCAAGGCAACTATTGCCCCAAATTTCCAGGTTAAACATGCAGTTTATTTATTTAATGTTTTTATTTATTTCTGAGAGAGAGAGAGAGAGAGAGAGAGAGAGAGAGAGAGACAGCGTGAACAGGGGAGGGTCAGAGAGAGAAGGAGACACAGAATTCAAAACAGGCTCCAGGCTCTGAGCTAGCTGTCAGCACAGAGCCCGACGCGGGGCTCGAACCCATGAACCGTGAGATCATGACCTGAGCCAAAGTTGGACGCTTAACCTACTGAGCCACGCAGGCGCCCCTAAACATGCAGTTTAGATAATCCTCCAGCTTTTGGCTAAGTCCTCACCCAGGTAATCATCCCTTCTTTCCCTTTCCCCACGTTTCCATAAGGGCCTAACCAAAACAGTTTGGTTTTTCAGAGAACAGCTGTAAACAAAGCCGATATTCTTCTCCTTCTTTCTTTTAAGTTTATTTATTTATTTTGAGAGAGAGAGAGAGAACACAAGCAGGGAAGGGGCAGAGAGGAGAGACAGAATCCCAAGCAGGGTCCGTGTCATCAGTGCAGAGGCTGGCGTGGGGCTTAAACTCACGAACTGTGAGGTCATGACCTGAGCTGAGATCAGGAGTCAGATGCTTACCCAACTGAGCCATCCAGGAGCCCCTAAGTCCGTATTTTTCTAAGCCAGTATGTTTTTATGATAGTGTACTGTGGTAAGTACCAGTTCTCACCCGTAAGATTTTCTGACTGCTTTGACTTTCCTTTATAAGCCGGTGTGAAGCCAACTCCATGGAAGGTTTTGATCTCAAGAGAAATGAATCTTGGGGTGCCTGGGTGGCTCAGTCAGTTGGGCATCTGATTTCAGCTCCAGTGATGATCTCACAGTCTGTGAGTTTGAGCTTTGTGTCGGGCTCTGTGCTGACAGCTCAGAGCCTGGAACCTGCTTTGGATTCTGTGTCTCCCTCTACCTCCCCTCCATTTTCTCTCTCTCTTTCTCTCTCAAAAATAAGTAAACATTTTAAAAATTTCAAAAAAGAGAGAGAAATGAAATCACTGTGACAGCTGGATCCACAAGCTGGACTGCTTATGGTTGGAGAAAGTGGGGACTTCTAGAAGCCCCTCCTTTGAATTCTGTAGCCTTCCTTATGTACACTGTCTCTTGTACAGCTTCTAACTGACCAGCTCAATTTTGTGTCCTTCTGCTTTGACTGATGCAAATGGGGTCTTTTTAAAGTGTATTTATTTATTTTGAGAGAGAGAGCAGGGGAAGGGTAGGGAGAGAGGAGGAAAGAGACTTCCAAGTGCTGTCAGCACAGAGCCCCAATGCAGGGTTTTGAACTCATGAACCACAGGATCATGACCTGAGCCGGAATCGAGAGTCAAGATGCTTAATCGACAGAGCCACCCAGGCGCCCCGCCGTGGTGTCTTATCCCCTAAGTTGTCAGTGTCTGTTCCAGTGACTCCTGGAGACCTAAATGATCCGTCCTCCCCGGGCAGTGGGGAAGGAGCCGGAAAGGAGAGCAAATGCCTAATAAATACTTTCTGAATGACTGAATCTTCATCATTGTCCAGGAAAAGAAAAGAGGAGGAGAGGAGAGCCCAGGCAAAGAGGAGGAAGGCCAGGGTCAGGCGGCGGGCCCTGAAGGAAAGAGACAGCCACCGGCGAAGGAAACCGAAGGAGCCAGCCAGAGCCGACGCTGCCTGTGAGCCTGAGTCTTTGGAAGAGTGGGAGGAGAGGAAGCGCCTGCTGGCTCGGAGGAGGGGGGAGGCCCTTCGGTTGCTACGAGTCCTCTTGAGGAAAATTGCAGTAAGGCTCTTTCTCAATCAGTGTTCGCTTTTGGTAGGTACTGACCTTTCCAAGGCACGCTTCTACCCTGAAGCAGTGGCCTATTTAAAATCGACTGCGTGGAAGGCTCTTTGCCTTCCCTGGGATTCGTTTTCAATAGGCTGATCTCCAGCAGCCTGCTGGCGGGTTTACGAAAGGGGTACCCGAGTTGTCCGAAGCGCTTGTGTCTCACCCCGACTGTGGCGTACACACACACACACACACACTTTGTGTTCCTGAGCTCCAGGACGCTCTGACCTGAGCCGTATAGCTAGTGTAGCTACTCCCCCGAGTGTTTCATGGGTGGAAGAGAAGGCATCAGGGGCTGGGCTGGTGGCCTTCCGTTAGCTTGTCCAGTCATCTGCAACAGGGTGGGATGGGAAGGGAGAGCCTTGAACAGAGACCTTGGGGTAGCAAGGTCATGTTAGTCTAGTCTTAAACTATTTGCTGAGGAATTTCTCACGTCACAGAGCAGTGGTGGTGTTTGGAGAGATTCCGTTTTGGAGTTTTGGGTTTTTTTTGTTTTGTTTTGTTTTTTGTTTTTGTTTTTTGATTTTTGGGTTTTGTTTTTGCCTCATTTTACTGACCTAAAGATAACCGGACTCCACAGATATCCTAGAGTAAAGGCCAGAAAGGTCCCCAAATTATTAATTTAAAAATGCATATTCAGTGTTTTTATTTTATTATTTAAAAAGAATTTTTTTTTGAGAGAGAGAAAGAGAGAGAGGGAGAGCAGGAGAGGAGCAGAGAGATAGGGAGACGGAAGATCCAAAGCAGGCTCCTCGCTGACAGCCAAGAGCCCCGTGTGGGGCTCCAACTCACAAACTGTGAGATCATGACCTGTGCCCAAGTCGGGCGCTCAACCCACTGAGTCCCCCAGGCGCCCCTTCGGTGTTTTTAAATATGAAGAGTAAATGGCATCAGGACCAGACAGAGTTCCTTTGACGGGGATGTGCATTCCCAGCCTTCCCCTCGCTAGTGTGGACAGCCAACCTCAGGGACATCAAGATCATAAATATCTCAGATGCACGTTTCTCATCAGGCTAGCTGAACCTTTTAATTTACCTTCCTGATCTCTGGGGGTGACTCCTTTTTAAGGATTTACCTCTTTAAATGTGTGTGGTGCCTAATTCTCGGCCCCATTGATACCTCACACTGATCTTGTGTGGCCCTCAGGTTCGGATCCCAGGTAACGGGTAGGCACTGTCCCTACCCATGCGAGCTGTCAGTGAGGGCACAGTACATGCTCTCCCTGCAGGGAGGGGCCAGTGGGCAGCGCCTTTCACCTGCCCTTTGGTTGTGCAGAGCAGAGGGCACAGACAGAACCATCGTCAAGGCCATGTTTTCTACATGTCATCTTGCTTCTGACTGAAGCAGGTGAGAGGGGACAGCTCAGGGACACCTTCCCCTACAGTCCATGGGAAGAGGCTGGAATGAAAAACAAAAAGGCGGTTCATCTTTTCAGCCAGTCGATTCCCTTTTAGACACACCTTTCACCCCTCAGTCTCTTCTTGTTCTAGGATTTTCTGGGAAGGCTGTAGAGCATTTCTTCTTCCTCTTACTATCCCCAGCCCCTAGTGTAAGACCTGGGACAGTAAATACTCACCAGTTTGTAAACAAATAAAGAGAAGGGTCATGCACGTGCTCCGAAGGTACATGAATTATTGCGTACAGACCTAGTAAAAGCAGTTCGCAGTAGCCCGAGACACTTAATTTGTACCTCTTCCTTTCTCGGGGTGATGTTGTTCCTAAACTAGATCCATCTTACAGCTTAGAAAGCACTTCAGAACCACGCCAGAAAGTCCACTCTTCTTAGAAATTTTTAAGCTGTTATAGTTTTCATGTGAGATTTTTAACCCTTTTTCTTTAAAGGAATCGACACAGTTTAACCCACAGGGGGTAGACGATCCAAGCCCCAGAGTGAACCGTACTCCAGGGAGCACATTGGAAACTCTGAAGGAAGAAGAGTTAAACAGCCAGTATCTTCAGAATCAGGAAGAAATGTCGAAACATCAGGTTGCCAAGTCACACCATAAACGAAAACAAAAAATGAAGAAAAGAAGTAGGTCTCACTTACATAAATCTTCCCACCACCTCAGGAGAAAAAAAATAAGATCTTCAGCTAGAAAAAAGAGAGCTAGAAAAGCACTGGGCAATGGATACGATGACATTTTGGTCTCTGACCAGAATTCTTTTCGGAATGCAACAATGCAAGGTCAGCGTCTTGAGAAAGAAGACTGCCACAGTTCTCATAAATCCAATTCTTCCAGATTATCTGAGCGAAGGCAGGGCAGGAAACAGAAGATCTGTGAAACAGATGAGTTCATTGATTACCTGTTAAACTACCATCAAATTCTAGACTATGACCGTATCTGCCTACAAGCAAGTGATGCCTCAAACACGGGTGAGTGGCAAAGGGCTGTCCACACTAAGGGAAATGGATTTCAAGTCACTTTGAGAAAACGTAAGCATCACTCTGCCAGTTTGAGCCCAGTGCAAAACCTGGCAACGAGAGAACAGGCTCAAGAAGACAATGGCTTGTCAGCGCTTTGTACTCAGGATCCTGAGCATAAACCACAAAAGAGAGGAAGAGTGGATTATGCCAAAGAATGTAGCACGGAGTTAACAAATCACTGCCAGGACACCGCCAGTGAAGCTGGTGATCACCTGTCCCCAACTGATGGAAAGAGCCATCTGTCGGAAGAGATTAATGCTTGCCAGGTCAGAGATTCCAGATCCACAAGTCAAGGCCAGGCTTCCTCACCCAACAAGTCAGCAGACTTAGAAATAGAGTTGACCGATTTCTTAGAGGAAATTAGTAGTGATTCTGAATGCTTCAGTGAAATCCTTAGCACAAACAAAGAAGACAAAGAGAAACCTGTGACCACATACAAGAGCTCCCCAGAAAAAAGATCTCTTGATGCTAATGAAATCACCACTAGTGATCAAGAACTTAGGTCAAGTCCGCAGACCTGGTATTCAGAGTGGAACCATGATGGGGAGGAAAGCTACTCCAAATACAAGCTTTGGAAACTGGCCAAGAGGTCCAAGTATGAACTGACATGTTCATGGCTTGAAAATGCAAACAGTTTCATGAGAGATGAGAACGACAGCAAACAGAATGAAATGCTAGCCCCCAAATACTTGTTTGATAAAGGCTACTACCGTGGGTCCAGTCCCAGAGATCTATTAGACGACATGACCAGAAAGAGGAGGAGGTTCGACGATAGTACATTCGACCAGAACGTGAAGTATAGGCCCTCTCATGTGCCAACAGCATCATCAAACAGCACTAATGTTTTCTATTTGGGGGATTTCCCCCAAAGAAGAGAGATCCCCTGGAGGCCAGAATACAACCAGGAGGTGAGAAGTTTCAAAAGACATGAGAATTTTAATGATTTCATGCTGAATTCTGATAAATATTATATTAGAGAGAACAATCAGGAGCCCATGGACTATGGAAGCTATTTACGAACCAGCTACACTAGTCCTCTGTATTTTCAAATGTTTTGAAGGTCTCTTAGTTCAGAAAACACCCTCATTCACGGTAAACAAATTGCAAGAAAAAGATTTAAAACCAAATATAGTGATGTAGTTAGCAACTGCAGAGCAAGAGAGCAACACTTAAAAGTTTGAGCAAGGTCAAATGCAAAAACCTTTTCTCTCTTGCCAAAGTATAAAGCATAAATGACTGCCGGTGTGTTGGCAAACTTTAGAAATAAAAAAAAAATCCAGATTCTGAAGGTTGGTAAAACAATGTGCCCACAAAACTTCTTGATCCAAGGACAGACATTTCTACAGTTCAGCTGTGACTTTAATTTGGTACCAGTGAGGGAACAAATGAACAGTGGGAGGAGTTGAGGTGGCCCTCCGTGGCTCTTTAGCTGTTCTAACATCATCATTTAGTGTCATTTATCTTCAAAACGGACAACAGTGAATGAAATAAGATCTTTTTACACATTCTTGGACTTGGTCACAAACACCACGTGCAGCAGCGGAACTCTCCTGACTTTGATCTAGAAATAACTTATAGGGAACAGAAGGGATGACAGCTAGAACATACCACAGACTCGTTCGTGACATTGGAAGGTTTCGTGGCCACCCACCAGAGGGAAATGAATCTTCTAAATATGTTCATAGTACTCAAAGAGTTGTCCTTTTAGAAACAAAATTTGGAAGAAGAAACTAAAAGGGGCTCAGATTGTCCTTTGAGGCTTAAACGGATGGTGGAGCATTTGCAGAGTTTTGTTCTTGTTGTTGTTTTTGAAGAACCCCATGTCATTCCATCCTAGAAAAGCAAGAGAACTGAAGTAAAAGAACCAGTGGGATTTGCAAAAGGAAATGCGGAATGATCCTGGGGCACCGATACCAGCACCTTGGGAAGATAGGACATGGCAGTATTTCGTTTCAGGTTATGTAATCCTCTCACTCAGGGTTGGGTGACATCAGTTTGTAAAAAGCCACTGACTATCCCCAAACCTACTTTTGATAACACATTAACAAGTGCCTCCCCAATCCTCAATAACGCCGTGGAGTTAGGAGTCAGGGGCAAAGCCCTAGTTTTCTAGCTGGGGGAAAACAGTATGTGTGAAGGATTTGTAAACTCGTAACATAAGCAGTTTATCTTTTTACCTACTGGTTTTGGACTTCTTGACTATGTTTTTAAATTGAGATATTTTATAGATTCATAAAGACTTACATCTTAATGCAGTGCATGTTCTATTAAAAGCTCGGCTGATTCATTCCGCCTTATATAGGATGTAGGACCTCAGGGGCAGTAGATGACCTTCCCACGCCGCCGCCCCCCCCCCCCCCCCCCCCCCCCCCCCCCCCCCCCCCCCCCCCCCCCCCCCCCCCCCCCCCCCCCCCCCCCCCCCCCCCCCCCCCCNCCCCCCCCCCCCCCCCCCCCCCCCCCCCCCCCCCGCCCCGACAAAGCCGTACCTGACTTGGCAGTTGAAGACATCAATGAGATCAGACTGGCTGTAGGGGGAAAGGGTGGTTTTCATTCACAAAAGTAGTGGAAGGCAACATTGTCCTATGACATGATTCATTCCAGTCTTAACTTGATATTCTGTGGAAAAGTACCAGCTGGCAGAAGCAAGGTAGAACGCCAGTCAGGGTGGTTGCCCTGAGCGACGAGGCACTTTGCGTGCTCATAACCACCTGATCTCTAAAGGGGCCACAAGGCCTTCTGATTTACCGCAAGTAAGAACCACACGTTGTTTCGCTGGTCTCCTCTCCTCACAGTGAAGACAGCTATGATAGCGCGTGCAAAAGTTGAAAAGTGAATGTAATACAACGGATTGTGTTTGTTATGAATGAAATGACAACCAACGAGGGACTTGTTGGCTCTCTCGTGTCCAGTCCCAGTTTCAACCTAGTGACTCTGCCGTTTAAAACTAGGTTTGGTTTGTCCAGTCTGAAGACTCGTTCCAGGGTGAGTGCCTTTTCTCCTCGGTGACTATTCACGTTCAAAGTACTGTTGTCCAGAGTAGCCTTTGAAAGTGCTGAGAGCTTGTATTTTACCGGACAGCTTTTGGGAATGAGGTGTTTTTGTCCTCTAGTGAGACCAGGCTCTGCCTCCTTCCTTTCTCATGCCCCGTGCCACCCAAACCAAGAACACTGTGGGTCCGTAATGGGAAGCAGTTATGGTTGTTTTGAAAGCAAATCTTCATTTCTGCGGTCATCGGATAATTTTTCTTTGCAGAGATTCTTGGGCATGAAGACAATTTGCTGTTCAGTTACCAGGCATAAAAGATACATCACAGGATACAGCATGTGCAATTTTTTTTCTTTTTTCTTTTTTCTTTTTTTTTGGTAGAATAGAACTGGTGCTAAGTCACTTCCATAGAATATTTTTGTCTGGCTTTGTTTGTTTGTTAAATACCATCCTGGGACCTCGTTAGCAAAAATACCGGTTTCATGTTTACTTTCTGTACAACCTTTGGTTTTTATAGGTCTTGTAGTAATGCGTTTTAGATTTAAATAAACCTCGTGTGTATGTGTGTTTGTGTGTGTAGGCCTTAAGTGAGGAAGAGATCAATTTATCCTGTACTTTCCAATGGAGTAGATGGCGGAGTAAGGAATGAAATAAAACCGAAAATATTGTGATCCCTTTCTATTAGTTCTGTTAGTTCCTCTAGTTATTCTTTGCTGGGCTTTCGTTTCCGTGGTGCAGACGTTTTCTCTCACATCTTTTTTTCCATGTCTTAGTAAAAAGGGCCTGAACTTTAAATTTTGTCTTTTTAAATAGCCGTCTTCATGTTTTCCCCTCACATATGCTACTGATAGTGCTTTAAGAAAACGAAAAAAAAAAATCCGTCAATGTATGTTTGTTCCATTTGTTTGAATTTCTCAGGTAGAAAGCCATGTAACCTGGTAATTTTGAAAGTAAGAACCAAATAAATGCATTTTTTTGTGTGTTGCAAGGCTGTCTAGAATGTTAACTTTTAAAACAGTGCGAATAATTCCACTGGGACGGGGGTGCACTTCTACCTGTAGGGTGTCGCTGTGCACTACTGTTGCTGACCCTCATTTGCATTGTTAAAGAAGTTATACGTATTTAATTTTCAGATATATTAAAAATAAAATGGTCATAGTGATTACCTACGGTCTTCTGTTCATTTACCGTGTGCATTGGCTGGGATGTCACATACCTACAATGTTTTCTTTGAAAATCTACATGTCCAGTTTTTTTGTGTGTGTGTTTTTAAGCTTTATTTATTTATGTAAGTAATCTCTACACCCGGCATGGAGGCTTCAACTCATGAGCCTGAGATCAAGAATTGTGAGCTCTTTAGACTGGGCCAGCTGGGCACCACCCCTATATATGTCTAGTTTTAATACTGATTTTTTTTAAATATTTTTTTAAATTTATTTCTAGGAGAGAGAGACAGCATGAGCAGGGGAGGGTCAGAGAGAGAGGGAGATACAGACTCTGAAATAGGCTCCAGGCTCTGAGCTGGCAGTCAGCACAGAGCCCGATGCGGGGCTCCAACCCACGAACCGCGAGATCATGACCTAAGCGAAAGTTGGACACTTAACTGACTAAGCCACCCAGGTGCCCCTTAATACTGATTCTATGTGGAGGGTGCCTGGCTGGCTCAGTCTGTTGAGCGCCCGACTTCTGTTCAGGTTGTGATCTCACAGTTCTTGGATTCAAGCCCTGTGTCCAGCTCTGTGCTGACAGCTCGGAGCCTGGAGCCTGCTTAGAATTCTGTGTCTCTGTCTCTCTCTGCCTCTCCTCCCCCTCCTACCCCGCTCTGTCTCTCTCTCTCTCAAAAGTAAACATTAAAAAGAAATGATAGGGGCACCTGGGTGGCTCAGGTGGTTAGGCAACCGACTTCGGCTCAGGTCATGATTTTGTGGTTTGTGGGTTTGAGCCCTGCATCAGCCTCTGCCGACAGCTCAGAGCCTGGAGCCTGCTTCGGATTCTGTCTCCTTTTCTCACTCTAACCTTCCCCCTCCCCTACTCCTGCTCTGTCTCTATGTCTCTCTCAAAAATAAACCTTAAAATAAAGAAATAAATTATAAAAAAGCCCTTAAAAATATATTGCTTCTATGCAATTTTTCCTTTTATGATGCTGATGTGTGGGAACCGTGTCAGGGTTCAGGCAACCGAAGATCACAGTTTGGTCTTCAGTTTGGATGTGTTGAAATAATAGCATCTGGACTTAATCCTATCCTCCCTTCAGCAAAGGTTTTATCAATAATCTTCGAAGGTGGCAAAACGGACTCCGTGGCATTTTGTCGCACCCTGTCAGCACGTGGTGGCAGCATTCAAGTTCTACAAGTTCTACCAAGTGTGGGTGTGGGGCGGGGGCGTTTAGGGGCTTCACTGCTCAGTCTTTGACCCTTCAGGAGTCACCTCTATTTTCACATGAAGCGTACGGCCGCCGCCTCCCAGTGCGCTGTGGCAAAGGCTGACTGTACCTTAGTACAATCTGGTTACTTGACAGCTGAAAGGGTCCTTTGGGGGGGGGGGGGCGGGCAAAGAGCTCTCGCTCTGAAACCGCGAGGGCTGTCCGGATGCTCCTTCTGGGTCTAGGATTAGTCTGTTTGGCCCTCCGAGGTGCTGTGACTGACTGTGTCGTTATGTAGAGAAGCCACAGATATGGGGAGGTACAGAAGACACGGAGAAAACGCTTAGGGCCGGGAGATGCTTGTCCTGAGAACACAGGGCCTCTGCAGGGGCTGCATAAAAGCAGAACACAGATGTTCACCCCCCCCCCACACACACACTGGCCTGGTGCCTATACCCACCACGCCCCCCATCTTAAATGGCACCTTTTACATAACATGGTTTCTGAATATGCTAGCTCGATTTGAGTTTTTAGACCGAAGTCCTGCCTTCTAGTAATATCCTTTTACATGTAATCCATACAATGTTGATTTCATTCTAAATGGCAGGGAACTGGCCTATTTGAGATTGAAGCTTTAACAGGGCTCTGGATGTTTTCCTCTTGGCATCAGACAAACCCGTTTAACTTACAAAAACGAGTAGCCTAATCCTCGCGTCTGAAAGATTTCAGGCTGCAAGGTGGCCCAATTTCGCTCTCCCACCCCTTCCCAGAAAGAAGCACACAAGGTAATAGGGTGCCTGGCACAAAACAGGCAACTGGAATATTAGTTGCACGAAACCTAGTGGGGTGGGGGGCAGGGGGGGAAGAGCTTATTTAAAAACAAAAGACATAGGGGCACTTGGGTGGCTCAGTTGATTAAGCAACGGGACTCTTGATCTTGGCTCAGGTCATGATCAACCAGTTTGAGTTCAAGTCCTGCACTGGACTCTGTGCTGATGGCACGGAGCCTGGTTGGGGTCCTCTCTCCCTCTCTGTCCCCACTCCCAAAATAAATAAAAACTTAAAAAAGACAGAAATGGTTTGGTAACAAAAACTGGAAAGCTGCAAGCCCTCTGGGCCAGGGAGTAGATCCCTTGTAAGAAAACTCTGCCAATTTTAGCGTCAAAATGGCAAAACACTAGTATTAGTAGGTTGCATTTATGCAACCAACTGCATATGCAAATCTGGTATTTTTTTTAAAAAGTTTTTTGTCAAGTTGGTTTCCATACAACACACAGTGCTCATCCCCGCAAGTGCCCTCCTCCATGCCCATCACCCCTTTTCCTCTCTCCCCCACCCCCATCAGCCCTCAGTTTGTTCTCAGTATTCAAGAGTCTCTCATGGTTTGCCTCCCTCCCTCTCCCCAACTATTTTTCCCCTTCTTCTCCCCCACGGTCCTCCATTAAGCTGCTCCTAATCCACCTATACCTGCAAATATATGGTATCTGTCCTTCTCTGCCTGAGTTATTTCATTCAGCATTAACACCCTCGAATCCATGCTGCTACACATGGCCAGATTTCATTCTTTCTCATTGCCATGTAGTATTCTATTGTATAGATAAACCACATCTTCTTGATCCATTCGTCCGTGGATGGACACTTAGGCTCTTTCCATGTTTTGGCTATTTTTGAGAGTGCTGCTATGAACGTTGGGGTACATGTGCTCCTGTGCATCAGCACTCCTGCATCCCTTGGGTAAATTCCTAGCAGTGCTATTTGTGGGTCATAGGAGAGTTCTAGTGTTAATTTTTTCAGGAACCTCTACACTGTTTTCCAGAGGGGCTGCAACCAGTCTACATTCCCACCAACAGTGTATTCCTCATCAGCATCTATACTCTCCTGATTTGTTCATTTTAGCCACTCTGACCGGCATGAGATGGTTATCTCAGCAAATCTGACCTTTTGATAGGTGAATTCACATAGCTACCATGTAAGAATTCCTGAATACCTTTCCTGATCAGATGATCTCTGGAAACAGAACCAACCGTGCCTTGGCACTTGGTTAACGACCTCAGTAAAGTTACCCCTTAAAAACCCTGCTATGGACCTCAAGGCAGAGGTCTGCCTTGGAGTTTAGAAAAGTTCTGAGGCAGAATTTGACAAGTCACAAAAATAAATTCACTAACTTTTAAGGAAATGTCCGTTTGTACATTGGAATTAAAGCAGTTGAGCTACTCTCAATTCACTGCTTTTTTAGGTTTATTTTTAATGTTTATTTTTGAGAGAGCGAGAGAGAAAGCATGAGAAGCATGAGTGGAGGGGGGGCAGAGAGAGAGGGAGACACAGAATCCGAAGCAGGCTCCAGGCTCCAAGATGTCAGCACAGAGCCCGGTGTGGGGCTCAAAGTCAAACTCAGCTGAAGTCGGGCGCTTAACCTACTGAGCCTCTGGAAGTTTATTTCTATTTGAGAGAAGAGAGAGAAAGAGAGCAAGCCGGGCAGGGGCGGAGAGAGAGGCAGAAAGAATCCCAAGCAGGCTCTGCACTGTCAATGCAGAGCCCAAGGCAAGCCTCGAACTCATGAACCACAAGACCATGAACTGAGCCGAATCAAGAGTCAGACGCTTAACCGACTGAGTCGCCCAGGTGCTCCTCAATTCACTATTTCTTCACAAGACAAGCTGGTGTTTGGTTTGTGGTGCAAGGCTCTGGAGTTTTGGCCTTTTATTGGTTTCTTTTTGAATACACGCACACCCCTCGGTGGGGGGGGGGACACTGAGTATTAAGCTAAAGGATAATGACTGAATCTGATTTCTTTGGCTAAGGTTTAAAAAAGAAAATGAAAACCCACCACGCTATACTGGGTAAAACCATTTTATTAACTGGGTAAAACCATTTTACGAACTGACCAAAGCACTTCATTTTTGTTTTTTGATTTGAGGTAAAACCATTAAACACGGTTCACGAGAAAATACAAGTACTATTCAACTACACTTACAAGGGGTCGAAACCTCACTAGTTGTTCATATAATACTTTTACGAATTCATACAACTGTACAGTCTACTTAAGCTAAGTTCACGGTTAACCGAGAGACCAATATCGAAGACCTAGACACTTGCCCGCCTACTCTCGCAGCGGCTAGTTTTGTCGGGACAGAAGAATGACGGTGACCTTAACGAATAGATTTTGAAAGCCGCTTGGCTGTGGTGATGTAGACTTTCTTCGTCTCTCAGAGGTGTGTGTCTCGGGGGGGCAAACACCTGTTGGTGCCCGGCATGCCCCCTCTCTCGCAGCAAACTTGGGTCTGATGACCATCATCCCACCGTGAACATGGGGATAGGCAGGACGGGCCCTACATTTTCACCGATCTAGGTTTTCAGGCAAGCCGGCTGAATTCTTCCAAAGCTTTCCTTTGAATGCTCAGATCCTACTTGAAGCCTCACTGAACACTGAGTGTTAGCGGGGGGCAGCCCTGAGCATCCAGAGGACAGAAACGCGTGACGCGGTCTCGAAACACAGTGAATAGATTTTTCCCAACTGAGCCCAGCTTTGAGATTTCAATTGTTTGTGTTTTTTCTCTGTTAATGGACAGCTCTCTTGAATTGATACCAGAGGCTTTGGAATACTGCAGATTTGCTGTAGAGGTAGATAAAACAGAAATCGTGCAGCTAAGTCAATTGAGAAAGGAGGGATTTGCTATCCTGAGAACACCAGGACCAAGTTGATCCTCTGCTCCCGGCTGCTGGAAGGATTCTGCACATGTGACATCTTTACCTGCTCGGGCGGGGAGGGGATACCAGAGTCTTGCCTGTCTCTTTCAGGAAAAGCCACTTTACAGGGGGCCTGTACTAACTACGGGGAGAAGGGAACGGTAATGACATCTGCATGACTGCGCTGCTGTTCACGGTCTGGACTGGCGACACACAGAGCCTCGTGCACTCGGGAGACAGGGGTTAACTGGATCAGTGCCACCAGTGATGTTAATTACAAAAACTTGCGGCAAGTTCGAAACTTTCCTAAATAGTTGAAATCACCACGTTTTAAAGACAGACTGGAATGTTACAAATGATTCTGCAAAATACAAAAATAGATATGCTTCCGCTGGATGCGCTAGTCGTTCTTCCGAGTGCTCTCATCTTTTGGTTCTTCCTCATCGGAGTACACGGTGGGCTCCTCACCCTCCTTCAGCAGCTTGCCCACGTGATGATACTTGACTGGAGGCAGAGAAGAGAAAACACAAACGGTCACACTCTCGGGCCTTCCCAAGACCCGCTGCTCCCCGCCTGCAAATATTCAGTGGAGGCCCACTCCGTGCGGCGATGCACTGGGCTTCTGGAAGGCGTCAGGTAGAAAGGTCTTACGCCACAGCCCTTGGCGACCGGGAATGAAGAGTTTTGTTCAGAAGGGACACAGAAGGGGTGGCAGTGCGGGGCGAGGAGCGTGCACAAGTGGGAGAGCAAGGACTACTAGGAGCGGCATTGAAGGTTTATGGCCAAAGAACGGCCCGGGAAACCGGCGCTTCGGCAGACCAGGCAGAGGACAGCAAGAAGCCTCGGCGCAGGGTGCCCAGGGGGCCAGCGGGCAGATCAGTACGTGAGGAAACAAGGGCCAGGAGCAGGGTGTCCGTGGGAATGGAAAGGGAAGGACGTGAGCTCCTTTGTTTTTTTGTTTTTTTTAATGTTTTATTTATTTCTGAGAGAGAGAGAGAGAGAGACAGCGTGAGCAGGGGAGGGTCAGAGAGAGAGGGAGACACAGAATCCGAAGCAGGCTCCAGGCTCTGAGCTAGCTGCCAGCACAGAGCCCGACGCAGGGCTCGAACCCACGAACTGGGAGATCATGACCTGAGCCGAAGTTGGACGCTGAACCAACTGAGCCACCCAGGCGCCCCGGATGTGAGCTCCTTTGAAGGAAAACTGGAAATAAGAGTTAATGAAGTCCAAACCGGAGCATCATGGACCCAACTGGGGACTCTGGCAAGGGAGCCCCTCTGGGGGGCGGGGGCACGTGACGGGAGATCTACAAGGGCTGGAGGAGTGAAGTTAACACTGGCAAGAAGCAGGTCCCTGGAGACCCCCGGGAAGGGAAGCCCTGTGGGGCTGTGCGGACGGGAAGCGCATTGCAGGGAGGAAGGAGGTATGCGGACGGAGGAAATGAAGCGGTGCTTAGGGACGAGCACTTCTCAGATGGGTGACGGTGAAGGGGAGGAATGAGGACTCTAGTAGGTGGAGGAAAAGCAGGAGTCAGTGTTCTTTCCCAACACAAGGGGAAAGCTATGCATTGTTAAAAGCAAGGGACTAAGGAGGCGAGGGAGCGCTGGAGATGTTGGAGAAAAGAGATGTAAGCGTGCAAACCAGACCGCAAAAGGCAGGAGGAAGGATCAGGGCCACACTGGGTGCATTCTTGAGGCCAAGCTAATGAGGGGTTAATCCTATGGGTGCCAGAGGCCCAGAGGGCCGAGTCTCCTCTTTCTGAACGTGGAGTAACCATCCTGTCTAACCAGGTAGCCAGACCTCCTTTGTGTGAAATAATCACCGGGAACAATTGGAACTTCCCTATTTGAACATGTAAAGGTCCCTAGGGTGCCCGCGATTGCATAAGACAAATAAAGGCGGGGGGGGGGGGCTCCCAAGAAACCTGCTTTAAGGGGATCCCACACTAGTTTGGAAAGGAGCTCAAGGGTCACAACAGAATTTGGGGGGGTTCTTAGTGGAAGGGGAAAAAGTTTTTACAGCCTTTACCTCCTTGGTGAAGGCAAGCCCTAGAAGACAGAGCTCTGTAAGTAATAAGTTAAAACTCACTGGTTTCATATAGAAGAATCTATCTTTACAAAGGCATCCTTAGGATACAAGAAAAATCAGGGACTATGTTAGATAGCCAGATCATGTTTTCAAAAAGACTTGTCCCTAGACCTGAAAGCTATATCTATCTTGTCTGCCTGAGATTCACATCTGAGGTAGACCCAGAGCTGGCTAATAATTAACCCAGAACTCTGAAGTCCGCATTATTTAAAAATAAAAAAAAAAAGGTTGGATTTAACCAAAAGAGTCAGTAATATTTATGGCTATAGAGAACAGCAAATAGAAAACGACATTTTAAAATAAAAAATCTTCGGGGGCGCCTGGGTGGCTCTGTCAGTTAAGCGTCTGACTTCAGCCCAGGGCATGATCTCAAGGTTCATGAGTTCGAGCCCTGCGTCAGATTCTGTGTCTCCCTCTCTCTCTGCTCCTCCTCTGCTCGTGCTCTGTCTGTCTCTCAAAAAACTATAAACATTAAAAAAGAAAATGAAATAAAAAATCTTAAAGCCATGGTCACAGTCTTTATATCCTGTTTCCAAGCTGGGAAAGGTTAGTCAAATTGTGAGCAGGGCAATGTTGCTAACGTGAGCAACACTTCGGTTTGATGAGACCTGATTCCTCAATTCTCGAAATTTGAACTTAACCCCTGCCCTTCCTCTCCCCCCCTGCCCCCCCCCCACAAAGACCTCAGCCAGCAGCATAAGCCAGGAAACAAGTGTCTCCTTTTTCCTTTCTTTTTAAAAATGCAGACACCATTGTTGCAGGGCAGATTATAAGCATCATTTGTAGATAAGGCCTATAGTCAGGCTCAGTGAGAGTCAAAGACAAGCTGTTTTGTTGAACACAAGTCTCCCATTCTTCAACAGAGATGTGGGCTGCTTTTAAACAGCCAGCCTTGCTAGTGAGGGCTTCTGAAACCCCTCTCTGTAGCCTACATGGCCATGATCCTTTCCCTTGCACGCCAAGTACCAAAGCCTAGTTACTGTGGGATCTATACAAACCCGTCAAAAACTTAACAGAAACTCAAGTTTCCATAGTGAGCTAGCTAAAAATTGGACGCAATCGCAGCAGGTGACTCAGCACTGCTGCAATTACTTCAAGCCATGAATTTGATCCGTCCAAGGTTCAGGAGCCTATCAACGTGCTCCCCCCAGTTTCAGGCTGCTTAGTAATAACTACTGTGCCGCTGTGAATCCCATTACCAGTAGAAATTTGATCCAGGCGCAATTAAAAAAAAAATGCTTACAAGTGAACTGAGAGTCCCAGTCACTCAGGGTCTCCTGCTGGGCGGGAGTGAGGTCAGAAAGGTCGTCATAATCGTCCTTCAGTGCTTCCTTATCCAGGCAGAAGGTAGCAAGGCCCCGGGACGCGTCTCTTCCGGCGAAGACCCCATACGGTCCCTCTTAAAACACAAAACCAAATCAAAGACCAGTTCTTTGTTAGACGGTCAATCCTCTCTGTGACTCATACACAGAAAACAGCTTCCTTACCCAGCAGCACAGAAAGCCCCCTTCTGCAGTATCGAATTCCATTTGGAAACCCTAAGTGACATCTGATGCTCTCTTTATCACATGGTGGCTACCGAAGGACCCGCTGTCCTCAAACTTTCACAAATCGGTGTGTTATATATACATCATCATCCATTTCCTGTGATTTTCAAACAGCTAATGAGAAAGCCACGAATGATTATCTCCTAGGGCGGGACGCGGTGGTGGTGGTGGTGGTGGTTGGAAATCATCTAAGATAATACTGAGCCCACGGGTCAGAATTCAACTCTGGGACAGAGCCTACCTCTGTTTTAGGCGCTAGGGCTATAGCAGTGAAAGTTACGGTTTCTTAAGGTAATAAATATGAAGGCATAAATGAAAACGTTTCCTTATAAAATGTATTCTAATCTGTTTTTAGGGACTCCAAAGTAGCTTATGGCGATCTCTGGTTGTGAGACTGTATTAAACATTAAATGTGTGGTGTCTGCAAGAGAAATCATTTTATGAGTATCAGTGGTTCTGAAATCTCTCCTCAGGTTACATAATCTACACTGTCAATAACGAAGAGAGAGCACAGAGATCACCTCTGTCACTCTGGTGAGCTTGAAGATAAGACTCAGAATCCTTAGATCTTCATGGGGAAAAAAAAAGACTGAATTGATATCCCAATATATGAAACATTAAGATGCTATTATAAAGCATATTATACTGAACTTTTGTCTAAGAGAGCGGTGAATCATTTTGTAGGTACTTCAAGTGGGTGTTTAGACCTACTTAAATATTGCACAAGTACATGAAAAGAACCCAGTGTACTTTAAACCGTGTGCTGTTTCCCCACAGTAGACTGGGTAGCAACTCTTGACATTAAAACGTTTGTCAGTAACCACGAGGCCAAGTATGATAACAGATCCAGTTTCAATATGCCCTGGTCGCTGGAAAGTGCAATCCACAAGGAATTTGTTTACTTTTTACAAATGAGACAAAATTTATGATCAACTTTCAAGTGCAAATGAGGTTCTAAAGAAAACTGGTTGTTTGCCATCCCACTAAGGAAAGAAAAAAACAACAAACCCATCACACGATTTTCACATTACACATTTCAGTTTTCACACAGTATACACACACACAGTTATACACACACACACACGTTTCTAGTGGACATGGTAGCATCTAGTACTTGAAAATAGGCCAACTGTTCTGGTTTGGACCTTGCTACTTCAGAGATTATCGTCACCAAATACTTCAAAATGGTCCAAGGGGAGGAATATATTCACCAGAATGTTCTTTCCTAGAATATAAACTCCATGAGCAGACACTTTGTGTCTGTTTTGCTCACTGCTGTATTCCCAGTACCCACAAAGGTGCCATGCGTAGAAGAAAAACGGACACTGGAATGACTCATTTTTAGGAATCCTTTATAACATGGATTATCACTTGCACGTGATGTCACACATTCATGGGCTCAGGGATGACACTGCAGGGTAGAGACTTAGGAAGATCTCCCAATGGGCCATCCTCAGCATTTTTCAGAGGGACAACGAAGGCCCAGAGAGAACAATGCTTCCTGCCAGGGCACACAGCTGGCCAGTAATCCAAATGGGATTAGAACTCAGGTCGCCTGACTCCCAGTTTTATGTGTCTGCGCACCGGCCTACATTTCTCTCAATGACTTTGCAAATTACGATCCTATGACGATGCCCCGCGCACTGTGTTGGACTACTTGACGGTGTAGCTCAGTACTAAGGGGTATTCACCTGATTATGTTTCTTGGTAACACCTCTAGGTGTGCCAGTGTAAGTGGTGACAATTAAGGTGTGGTTTCAAATTCCCTTGACAGTTACACGGCCTACAGAAAGTAGGTCTTCTGAATCTGCCACAAGGAAAAACTGCCAAGGGGCTGAGTTCCTCAAGAACTTTCCCACATCTGATTTTGATTAGTTGGACTGGGCGACTAAAACAAAGCAGGAGTGGAGTTGACGGGAATCCCGGGTATGTGTGGGCGACTCCAGACCCCTTCCCTCTCTCCAGACCAGCCAGGAAGGACAGTCTTCTCAATCTGGACACACTTCCTGAGCTCTCTGGTTTTAGGAGTCCACATTAAAGGAGCTAAAACCTCTCCCTCCTCTCCAAATATTCTACACGGATCGACTTTCCCGACCCGGCCGCTTCTCAAGGGCGCCTGTTGACATGCAGATTGCTGGACCTCCCCAACAGAGACTCCTCCACGGTGGCGGTGATTAAGCCGGGCATCTGTGTTGTTCCTCCAGCGCATCAGGTGATCCTGATCCACCAGCAGGCTTAGAAAGCCTCATCTCTAAGGCCCCTCGGGCTTGCCCTCCTCCAAGGGCTCTGCAGTCAGCCACCCTCATTTCCCCTCCGGTTGGCTTTTCCTGAAATCCCCACACCCAGCAGCCCTCGCAGCCCTACCCCTTTTGTTTCCCAGGATCCTCCCACTTCTCTCTCCCTCCATTTTTAATTTTTTTTTTGGGGGGGGGGCTTCTAGTGCTTTCTCTCCCGCTATAGACCGAAAGGCTATACTGCCTTCTCATCTCGCCCCATTCCCATTATACGCTCCGTTCGGCCTCATTTCGCCCTCCAGCAGCACCCCCCCACCCCCACGGAGCCTCAGCGTTCACCTTCCAGCGTTTTGGTCGGCCACACGCGGCGCGCGCACACACATACCAAACACATGCCACACACATACCTGACACATGCCACATTCCAAGCGCGCGCGCGCGCACACACACACGCCTGGCGAGTCACGGACACGGGATACGCACACACAAGTCAGCCGCCAGCATGCCCGCGGCTTCGAGCCGCCGCCAGTCCCACCTCCGCGCCCCATCTCCCGCACCTTCACGATACACCGCGGCCGCTCCCGGCGGCGGCGGCGGCGGCCTCCGCATCTCCTCCGACGCTGGACCTCCCCCTCCCCCTGGCTTCCCTCGAGACACCTTTGTTTCTCTTCTCCAGCCCGACACTGCCCCTCCTTCCCAAAAGCCCCAAACCCCATGCCCTCGAAGCTCCTCGAACACTGCGTTCGGCGGTGCCCCCTTTCCGGCTTGGCGATCGTGCCCGCCGCCCGGCACCCCCCCCCACCCCGCCCGAGCGCTCCAGCCTTCTCCCTCCACCCCCACCCCAGCGCCGGCGGCGTCCCCCAGCCGCCGCGGCCCTCCTAGAGCGCCCCTTGCCCACTGCCACTGGCAGCCGCCCCGCCACGACCGCCATTCCTCCCCTCGGGGGCCCCTCGCTCCCCTTCGCCTCGCCCGGACCCAGCCTCGGGCCGGGGCCCCTTCTTTTGTCTCCGCGTCCCCTAGGGCGGCTGCCGTTACCGGGCCCGTAGAACTTGCGGCCTTTGGTCACGTCGAACACCTTGCCGTTGATGGCCATGAGTATGCGCGGGTCCTGGACGCCGTCGAAGCGCCGCAGCTCGGCAGGGGTGAAGTCGCGCCGCTTAAGGCGGGGCAGCGGGGGCGGCTCGTCGTCGTCGCTGTCGCCGCTGGTCGCCGGCTGGTCCCCGCGCACGATCTTGTACAGCAGGAAGACGCAGAGGCCGAGCAGCAGCAGGTTGAGCGGCGACGTGAAAATCTCGTGCAGCAGCCCGCCACCCTCCAGCTCGCTCGGCTCAGCGCCGGCCGCCGCCACATCCTCGGCAGCCATGATCTCTGGAGCAAAGGTTGGGCCGGGCTAGGGAGGGCTCCGGAACTCGCTGCTTTCTCCTCCCTCTCTGCGAGCTTGTGGCGCGCGCGGAGCCGCCGACAAGGACTAGCCGGCGGAGGGGGCGGGGCGGGGCCTGGGCGGGGCCTGGGCGGGCGGAGCCTCCAGGCCCCGCCTCCCCCGTGGCCGCCCCGGCGCCGCGCCCCGCCCCGCTCGGGCCCCCCACCTGGCCTCTGGGCCGTCGCTCCCCTCCCCCAGCCGGATCCCGCCTACCCTGGCGCCGCGGGACCTGCCCTCCCTCTCCCCGCCTCCCCGCCTCCGCCCTACCTGCGAGGCCCCGGCCCCGGCCTCACGCCATCCTCCCGCCATCCCCTAGCCAAGCGCGACGCAGCGCGCAGCTCTCCTCCGCACTGTCGCTTGCTCCTTGAGCCGCGACCCGATCCGAGAGCCTCGGCTTTGCAGAGCCCTGGCAGAGGCCCCCTCCGCCACCTGATGCGCGCCGCGCACGGCTCCATTTCTCCTGCTTTCAGGCTGCTCCCCCGCCTTCCATTCCGAAGCCTCGCCTTTCCTCGCCCATCCCCCTGGGACCGCGGGGCTCTCTTGGGGGACAGGAAGGAAACTCTCTCCTCCAGCTCCCTTTTCCACCTTGGAGGCCCAGACTACCCATCTCCACCTTGGGAACCCCCTCTGACTCTCCTCCGCGACCCTCCTCCAATCCTCCCCGCCAGAGGCTGTGGCGTGGACACCCCCGGGGGAGCTCCAGTCAGTGCACCGGCCCCTGTCCCACAACCCTCCCGATATCTGGGGAGACAGGTCGGCTCGCCGGATTTACGTTGGGTTCATTCTCGACAATCATAGATTTGCTCAGTCCCAGAACATCGGCAAGCAACCCTCTGTGGTTAACGCGCTTTTGGGGGGGGGGGGCGCTCAGAATAATGACCAAAGTTTCATTGTTGGCAGCGTTCTTTGATTTGAAGTCGGCCGAGCTACCCTTGGCAGTCGCCATAACCCTGTGCTGTATCCCAGACGAAAGCGGGAGTTTGGAAAGATCTCGGGTTTGGTCCCTTCCTTTCCTAGGTATTTCCGCCGGCCAGTGCTGGGCTAACCGTCGTCTGCGCTGGAGCAGGCCTTACGGAGGAAGGGCTGTCTATACCCTTTAGAATCCTAACCTGGCTGCCCTCTTTACTATCACCGGCGGGGCGGGGAGGGGGGGGCGGAAGAAAGGATCGAAGAGAAGGGGGGAAATAATTAAAACCAAGCCCTGCACACATCTGCAGCCCAGAGCAGTACTTTTCCATCAAGAGCTCATGCACGTAATTTACTCCCCCTCTGAACACGCCAGAGATTTGAGAGAATTGGCTTCCTACCCCAGAATTCTAAACATTTCTGGCACAAACTGCTTCCATCCCTGCCCCCACCCCATCTTCTTAAATCATTTAAAAGCACATATGAGCGAAATAATCCTTAAATCGGGCCCACATACATTTTTTTTCACAGACCTAAATTTAGGGTTAGCTGAAATGGCCCTTTCAGATCTTTCCTCAAACCTCTTAGATTTAATCAAGGCGAAACAGGCTCAAACCGAGGGCACAAGGCTGTACTTAGGCTCTAATTATCTTTCGTTTAAAAAAATCTACGGCCAAGATATTTTTAAACACGAACAAACTTGTGAAAAATATTTTCATTTACATCTAATGTCAGAGACAGGGCTAGTGTCTTGTAAGAGCTCGTTTTAATTGATAAGAAAATCCATAAGATGTTAGTCAAGAAATGGGCAAAAATGGAAAAGGGGGTCCACACAAGGGTGGGGTACCAATGGTGAGGAAGCATATGGAAAATGTTTAGTCTCGGGGCGCCTGGGTGGCTCAGTTGATTAAGCGTGGGACTTCACCTCGGGTCATGATCTCCTGGCTGGTGGATTCGAACCCGGCGTCGGCCTCTGGGCTGACAGCTCAGAGGCTGGAGCCTACTTGGGATTCTGTGTCTCCTTCTCTCTCTGGCCCTTCCCTGCTCATGCTGTCTCTCTCTCTCTCTCTCTCTTTCAAAAATAAATAAAACGTTTAAAAAATGTATTTAAAAAGGTGTTCAGTCTCGCAGGCAATGAGAAATGGAGATCCCACCGATACCTACCACCTTCCTGTTGGAAAGAGACAAAGAAAAAAAAAGATGACCTACCATTCTGGCCCGAGACGTACACTGTGGGGAGTAGAAATTGGTATAATCTCCTGTCATTCATAAATATATTTTCTATCAATTAATCCCACTTCTAGAAATCTACTCTTGGGTCCCTACTTAGACCTCTAGGAATCCATGCCAAGGAAACACTTAGAAATGCAAACAAAGATTTCATTGCTAAGATGCTCATTGAAAAATCATTTTTTAAAATGTAAGCTCTACACCCAACATGAGGCTCGAACTCATGACCAAAATATCAAGCGTTACATGCTCTACCGACCGAGCCAGCCAGGTGCCCCAGAAAATCGTTTTTAATATGAAAAAGACCTCAAAACAACCTAAATGTTCAACTTTAAGAAATAGCTAATTAATTCACCTGAATTGTGACAAAATCATACAATATTATTATGACCTGCGTGACATGGGAAAATACTCATGTTTTAATCTTGAGGCAGAAAAACAGAATATAAAACTATACAGCATGAAAACTCAACTTTCTAAAAAAAAAAACCCTCATGAAAGGATACCTTAAAAAAACACATGTTGGGGCGCCTGGGTGGCTTAGTCGGTTAAGCGTCCGACTTTCGCTTAGGTCATGATCTCGCGGTTCGTGGGTTCGGGCCCCGCGTCAGGCTCTGTGCTGACTGCCAGCTCAGAGCCTGGAGCCTGTTTCAGTCTGTGACTCCCTCTCTCTCTGACCCTCCCCTGCTCACACTGTCTCTCTCTCTCCTAGAAATAAATAAAACATTAAAAAAAATTAAAAAAAAAAACACATGTTAACTCTTGTGGTTGTTAATTTCTTCTTTGCAGTTTTCTACATTTTCCGCCATGAGCTCGTGTCACTTGTCGCCTTGGGGAAAAAAATGGTTTATTACTACTTTTGTGGGAAAAAATGCAGAATGGTAATATGTGCTCATTATAATCACAAACTTAAACAATACATAAGTGCATAAAGGAAAAAAATGAAATGCATTTCTCTCCGAGATCCCAAACAATCTTTAAATGGGGCTACACATGAACAGTTTGGTTTCTATTTTTGCAGACATATCATACACACACACACACATACACACACATGCACACAGATTTTGTTTTACAAAACTGGGGAAATTTAAAAGTAAGAAACAGTTCATCAGGGTTTTTTTTTTTTTTTTCCTAATAAAGGGAGACACAAAGTAAAATGAGAATAGGTCATTAGCTCCCACCCAGATAACACTTGTTGAAATTTCTTGAAAATCGTATTTTTTTAAGGACATAAAATGCAAACTACGCAAAGACACAAAATGTACATTAAAGCCCTTCTCTTCACCCTTGATTCTCTCTCCTCAACTATAACCACTATTGAAAGGGGTGGAAATGTCAGACATGGAAAGACAAATACTGCATGATATTTCTTATATGTGGAATCTAAAAAAAAAAAGAAACCGGGGGCACTTGGGTGGTTCGGTCAGTTAAGTGTCTGACTCTTGATGTCGGCTCAGGTCATGACCTCACAGTTTGTGAGTTAGAGCCCTGAGTCCCTCCGGCTCTGTGCTGACAGCGTGGAGCCTGCTTGGGATTCTCTCTCTCCCTCTCTCTGCCCCTCCCCGGCTTGTGTTCTCTCTCAAAAAAATAAACATTAGGGGTACCTGGGTGGCTCAGTTGGTTAAGTGTCCGACCTTGGCTCAGGTCACGATCTTGCGGTTTCTGCGTTTGAGCCCCACGTTGGGCTCTGTGCTGACAGCTAGCTCAGAGCCTGGAGCCTGTTTTGGATTCTGTATCTCCGTCTCTCTCTGACCCTCCCCTGCTCACGCTGTCCCTCTCTCTCTCTCAGAAATAAATAAGATATTTAAAAAAACATTAAGAAAACAAAAAGAAATAAAAAAAGAAACTGAACTCAAAAAAACAGAGTGGAATGGAGGTTCCCAAGGGCCGGGGCGGGGGTGGGGGAGGGGGAACATGTTGTGTAAGGGTCTGTACTTGTAACTAGTAGATAAACAAGTCCTGAAGATCTGATATACAATATAGTGATTATAGATAACAAAACTGTATCTTAAACTTGCCAAGAGACTAGGTTTTTTTTTTTTTTTAAATGTTTATTTATTTATTTGAGAGAGAGAGAGAGGGAGAGAGAGAGCAGAGAAAGAGAGAATCCCAACTGGGCTCCGCACTTTCGGACACAGGGCTCGACCCCATGAATCGTGAGATCGTGATGAGCCGAAACCAAGAGTCGGATGCTTAACTGTCTGAGCCATCCAGGGGCCCCTAAGAGACTAGATCTTAATTGTTCCCACCGCTAGAAGAAATGATGATGATCATTTCTGTAATAGCAGAAATGCTGTAATAGCAATCATAACTACACTATAAATGTATCATTTCAGTGTGTTGTATACCTTAAACTTACATGGTGCTATGTGTCATCTCATATATGTTATTTTTTATATATAAAAGGTGGGTAAGGGGCACCTACCTGGCTGGCTCAAATGGAGCAAGGGACTCTTAATCTTGGGGTTGTGAGTTTGAGCCCCATGTTGGGTATGGAGATTACTTAAAAATAAAACCTTTAATTAAAAAAAATTTTTAAATGTTTAAAAAGTGGAGGAAATGATTTTAGGGATGGCTGGAGGATTTATAATTTTCATTTATCACAGTCCAATGTCCTTCCTGCTATGCCTCAGTATTCCCCTGGACAAGAGATTGAGGGAAGCCCTGCCTCACACAGAGGGTAAAACATAATGTGCAGCTTAAAACTTCAAGCAGTGATACAGCTTGAAAATATAAATGCTGTCAAACAGATTGGATGCTAAGATGGGCTATTAGGTGGGATGTTGAGATTGTTGAGGAAAAGCACCCCCCCCCCCCCACTGGTTCATGTCACAATACTCCGTGGAAAGGTCTCAACCACAGAGTTTGAAAATTCTGTGGAAATAGGG